TCTCGGAACATATGCTGATTGCTCGTGCTGTAAAGCATGGCATCTCACTGGTAGAAGGGTTGTGATTATTGTCCATTAACCTCTCCAGGAAAACATTCACTATTATCTGGAACCAAGAGGTCAGGGTTTGGCTGGTCAGCGTGGACAGTCAGTCCCTGCTGGGAGATGTTGGATAATATTCAAAGAATGTTACATAACAGGGGCTTTAACTGTCAGTGGAGAAACAATGATTTGATGATTTCTTTTAGGGTCAACATTGTAATTACAAATGTAATTACATATATTAATTACAGCTGTAATTTTACATGCAGGTCTTTTTAAAATGTAAGTACAATGTAAAAACATGCATGTACACAATAAGTCCATTGTATCAAATTATTAATTTCAATGTAAGTACATAGTACCTAAAGCCACTTAATATAAAGTGGGACCCTTTTTTTTTGGACAGATTGGTGTGGGTGCTCTAGTAAAGCTCCGCCATAACAAGAATAGCAATGTACAGTGAGACATTTTAGATTAATTACAAGCCAGTTTCCACTTTTACAAATAATTGTAATAAAATGTCAAAAAAATACTGATATGAAAATTTGAATATTTTTCTATTTATCTATTAATCTGCATTAACATTGCTTAATGCGTACATATTTCGACATTTTTGGGCTATGGTTATCACTATGTCAATCGTTACAATTTCGAGAGTGAATCGCGCATTTATGTTGATGTCACTTCCGAAACTCTCCAGTGTGTGTAATTGGCCATCGGTCCTCTTAGCAACATAAAAAAAACGCAACTTTCATCTAAATTCTGAATGAATTATATAGCCTAGAAAGAGCACCAAGACCGCTCCCTTTGTAATCACTAAAATGCTGTCACTCAGTTCATCGCAATCTCACAAAGTTCCATTATAATCAATGATTTTCTCTACACTGCACACTGAATCTCTTAGGGCCTGTTTACACCTGTACTTCATGTGTTTCCTCTGATTGGATAGCTGTCAGACGCGCGTTCCTATTCGCATACTATTTGTCCTAAACGGTATTCGAAATTAGAATCAGTGTGTCCCAATTCGTAGTTGGAATGACTATTCCAAAGATCCCCGGATGGTCCAGTTTTTCCGGTTAGAATCCAAAGTGCAAATCCCCTCTGACGGCTAAAATTGCATGTTGGACGAGGATTTGATTAGAACTACAAACACGAATACAAAGTGTTGAAAAACTACAAACATGGAGGATGTGCGAGTCCGACGGTTAGGTAGAGAGGTTGAGATAAAGGGGTTTAAATGATTAAGTACTTAACCTGATGGAAAGATATTTATTCAATGTTATCCACATTATATCTAATCTGCAACAGCATTGTAAACATTTGTAAAGATATGTTTAGTCATTAACTTTTAAATGCATCATTATACAAATTGCAAACACTTGAGGAGAGTCTCAGCATGAAAGACCCACGACTGGCGGATCAACGTGCTTCTACTTCTCTCTCTCCGAAATGCTAGGAAATTAAATTGAATGTGAAGGATTTTAACTGTGACAAGATGATTAACAGGGCAGTTTAAACGGCGACAGGACACACATAACTAAGCGAAAGAGCTGTCCGTTAAAGACACAATCATGGCGGAGTAGTGTGTCCCAAAGCTTGCCTACTCTTCTGCTACACACTCGAAAGAACTGGGCCTCGTACCCCACAGTAAAGGCAGCTAGTGTGGTGTCAAAACCGCTCAAATAAATCAGATTAAAACCAGACATCTGATAATATTCCTGTTTACAGAAACTGTTAAATTGACTTGGAACTTAAACTCTTTCAACGCCTCATTAGCCCCGCAATGGAACAACTCATTAAGGCTTGATTTTCCTCTGGGATCTGGCAATGAAAAAGGAGGGAATGTGAGTAAATTAAAATTCTCTAACAATAAGCAACACCACCCCAGCTTTGTTTAGGAAGAATATTGATTGAGTAATTACACAGAAAAATAAGGGAAAAACAAAGCACGATGGTCACATATTTACTGCAGCTAAATATGGCTGTCATTCGTCTTCAGTCTTATTTCTGTATGCAGAGTGTTAAGTTATGTATCATATTTCACAAATTAATCCCCCCCCCCCCAAAAAAAAAAAAAAAAAAATCTTCAGACAACCAAATTCACACTAAATCTGCGATAGCATCTGTCTCGCTTGACTATAGTTGTTCCCACCAGCACTGCCGTCTCGGGGCAACCCACACATTTTGATCAACTGTGCATGTTGTTTACAAGAAGCATAAACAAAACTCATTGTCTTTTACAATATAATTGATCGCTGCATGATACTATATTACTGGTTGTTAAAGGTAGTTTGGTATAAAATAAACATTGCCCGTCCACATTTTTTCTTTAAAGCTACAGGACACCAAAATTTTGTAATGACTGTGTAGAAAATAGGGGAAATTTTTTTCTTAAAATTATTAAAATTAACTCAATTCAAGATATATTCTCTAAAAACAAGCCTTGATGATTTTTTTTTCCTTGTTCTGAAATGTTTAGCTATATTACTGGAAAACGATACAGGTAAAATCCATACACACATGTAAGGAGGATTTAGTCCTGCAAATAAATGCAACCTCAACTCCCAAAACGTTGCAGTTTGTTCTTGGCTAAAGTACAAAAAGAAAGAAAAGAAAAACCTTCAGTGTGACATTCGTGATTTCAACAGGTGAAAGGTTCATTTAAATGCTCCACTGATCATTTGACTGAGATACTAAAGGTGATGTTTGCTTTGAGGAATTAGCTGACAAAGAAAGCTCGCTGTGTTGATTCCCATGATGTCCCACTTCTTCTCAGTCTAAAGCCGGTAAGTTAATTTGCACTGAAGCCTCACAGTAGGATGTTAATCTTTAGAGTGTGTTTGTGTGTCTAGATGTGTGTATAGTCTCATGGCGCACATAGGCTCATAGTTCTGGTCCAATCACAATCCCTTCTGACTGAATTGATGGGATATTGAGTGTTGCCTTTCCTGCTGCGCATTGTTGAGTGGGATTTGAAGATGTTATTAGGCAGTTCTTCATCATTTGGGTTGGAAAACAGTATGAGCTATGATAACCCGATTATAATTTCCACTTGGATGAACTTAGGATCGATCTTCCGACTCAAAATAACACTTCACAAACAAGCAGATGTAGAGGATCACGCTATCCTTCAGAACAGTGGTGGGTAAGACCTTCGTAGATCTGTTCGTATGGAGTTGTGGACAACAGGTAAACACCAATGATAAATGGCGGTGTTGCAAATGCTACTTTGTAACTTAATCAGCAACTTTGCAAAATAAAATAGGGCCAATTAAAGGGGAAATATATTTTAAATATGAAACAACTGGTAAATAAAAAAAAATACTATTTATCTGGTACATAATCAATATGGATCACAATTAGGGTTATAACGTCATACTCAATATAATTCAAAAATATATACAGTACATTTCCAAAAACAAAGTAATAAACAGCTGAATTTAACTAATTCAAAAAGATACAAGTTCCACACATTGATTTGAACAGATAAAAAAGTTAATAGGTTTACTACTTTTTATTTTAATTTGTTTCATTTTTCCAAAACGCAAAGTTAAAATGCATTACCCAATAATCAAGCATTTATGATAGTTAATTGAATAAATGTAGTAACTTTTAAAAGAAAAGAGAAAAGATTTCAAGCCAAACTGTATTAACTAAGGGTTATGTTTTAGTGCGGTGTAGGGGACTCATTTGACGTTCAGTTCTCAAACCAGTTGAGATCCACTGCTTTAGCAGATGTCTAACTAATTCAACGGCAGCACGTCGACACGAATCACACCATGAGGGCTTTCCATTCACAGGGGGTCAAAAACGCGTCTCTTATCTCAGTGACTTACATTCTCTCTCATTTCCTCTCCAAACCAAGATGCCTTGGTTGCTATTTCATGGAACAGATGGTGTGTGAGTACATTACCTCTCCACAGAGACGTTAAGGAGAAAAAGACTTTCAATCTGTTGAAATTTGGCTTTCTTTCAGACATTATCACCATTTTCTTGCATCAGCAGAATCCCCTACAAACACTTCTGAGGATTCCAGCAATATGACATTACCACCTGACTTTGTTACCTTTTACTGTTGGTCACAATAATGAACCCCAAGCAAGATCATAAAGAATGTATCTAATTATAATTCACCTCAACAATGAACAAGACAACAGACTGGATTCATGTCAATTTGGTCTTTAAATGGATAAACTGGATCATATAATATTTCATATATGGTGACATTATACAATAAGGTTCAATTTTAGTTAACATGACTAAAAATGGACAACACTTCTTAAGCATTTATTAATCTTAGTTAATATTGATTTCAACATTTACTAAAATCAATACATTATTAAAATCAAAGGTTGTATTTGTTAACAGTAGCCATTGCACTATATGAACTAACATGAACAAACAATAAACAGCTGCATTTTTATTAACCAACTTTAAAATTATTGTAACATATATTTTGCTCTTGATTAGTTCATGTTAAGTAATACATTACAAATGTTAACTAATGAACCTTTATTGTAAAGTGTTATATATATATATGTATGTATGTGGACAAGACTTCTAATGACTCACTTTGTCCTATTTATTAAGTGTATTCATCTGCCAAAAGACTATAGTATCTTTGAAATACCACCTAAATCTCATATATTGATATATATATATATATATATATATATATATATATATATATATATATATATATATATATATATTGATATGCACGATTAATTAAAATATACATTTATATTATATTCATTTATACACTTTTTAATATTTTATGTTTGCCACAGTTTATGAAGTGATCGAATTATGATATGATGATGCATTTCAATTTACTCATAACCCATGTTTCACAGTGTGTATAATGTAGTGCGGGGGTTGTGATAGTCAGCTCTGTAGTATAATGGCAACCCTGACACCCATTATAAGTGCTAAACATTATGCGAGGCATGACTTACGATATGGAGCATGATGTAGTCTCCCAGCCTGGGGGCGCTGTCGATGCGGACCAGAATCCCATCCTTGATAGTGGTGCTGAAGCCCACCGCCAGTCGGTCGGTCCGAGTGCTGGGCCTCTCGTTATTGGGCCATGTGTAGGTGATAAGACCTCCGCCCTTTCCAAAGATGTACGTCGCTCCAGCTGCAGAGAGGAATAGAGAAAGATTGTGTGAGAGACCAGCTGACTCTTTTACAATGCAACATCCAGCTGGTGGGATGTCAAAAGTACCAATATCAGTCTTTAAGCAGTTTTGTCAGTACAGACTTTAATACAAAAATTCAACAGACAGCAAAGAGCTTACGATGATGCAACTACATAAGCTTGAGCAGACAAAATGCCTGTCTTGGCAAAGTATTAATGTAAATACAGCCTGTTTGTCTTCAGCAAATGTAAACAGATGGGACATACAATATAATGTGTCAAAATACCAGATCTGTGCACTAGATCTCACAGTGTAAATGCACTCTTAAAAGGCTATTATGCTGTATAAATTTATCGAAGAACAGTATTGACAAGGAAAAGAACCACTCACTGGTTTTAGTAGCTTTACTACAACTGAACATGAAGTGAGGCTTAAAGAAAAAAAAAGTGCAGCTGATTTGAATTACAAGCTTTTCAGTCAGTCACCGACAACAGTGAATCCAATACCAATGTATTACATCTAATACTATGAAATTTGAGAATAATTTGTATTATTTCACATTACTACTTTATTTCTATACAAATGCAATGTTTTATACGGATACTGTTCACTGTTGTATGATTGTCCTATACGTTTTATTCCTCTTATTTCCTGCAATTTGCTAGATTACTGTAAAATCCATGAAGTGTTTAAGTAATTAGGGAAATCTGAATGCTGAATATCAGTATTCCAGAACTGTAGCCCTATTCGGACACTAATTGTTTCTCATGGGGTTGTAAGGCATTTTTAACATTTACAGGGGCTAGTCTGTGATTTTATTGCCGTCTGAATTTTTCTGCTGCACTTTGGATGCATTTGACAGATCTAGCCTACACTTTCATTACTGAAATGCTGAAAGAACAACATTATTTCCTATCACCGCTCAAAGGAGAAAGAAAAGCAGGTAAACGTTTCAAATGGGACGTTATTATGGCAGCAATACATAACAAATATAAACCAAGCAGCTTTATGTTTACTTCAAATAAGAGGCTGTATAAACCTATAACTGATAATTTCCAAATTTTCAAAATGACATCCATCGTTTTCAGTTAAAATATAAGGCAGAAAACTATTTACTAATGGTTTTTAAACAGGAGATCGAATAATAAAATAATAGGATATTATTTTCCTATAAGAGTTTCTTCTTATAATCCAAGTGTATGCCATGCACTCTAAAAAATGCTGGGTTGTTTCAACCCAAATTTGTGTCAAATATGGACAAACCCAAAATTGTGTTAAAAATGTAATTAAAAAGTTGGGTTAAAATTTTAAATTACACTTTTAACCCAACATTTGGATTTGTCCATTTTTTTTTTTCCCAATCCAGGCTTAAAACAACCCAGCATTGTTTGGAGTGTAAATGATTTGATGCTCAAGAAACATTTATGATTATTATCAATATTGAGTGCAGATTAATATTTCTGTGAAAACGTGTTTTTTTTTAATATATATAAATCTTTGATAAATATAGAGAACAACATTTGCTGTATTTGAAATCTAACTTTTTTTACATTAAAAAAGCACCCCCCCCCCACACACACACTTTTGAATGGTAATAAGGGTAAAAATGTAATAATACAGTCTTAATAAGGCTTATACTGTATTACAACAGCCCCATGAAAGGTCAGAAACATATAATAGGTGTTTAAAGGGTTTTATGAGGTAAAAATGTAATTTCAAATTTAACCCAACTTCAACTTTCATACACTTATAATTGCATTTTTAACCCAATATTTGTCCATATTTGACCCAAATGTTGGGTTAAAATGCAATTATAAATGTATGAAAGTTGAAGTTGGGTAAAATTTGAAATTACATTCACCAACATTTGGGTTTGTCCATTTTTGACCCAAATTTGGGTTGAAACAACCCAGCATTTTTTGAGTGTGCGACTGACCACGTAAGCAGTGTGTTTCCCAGTTCGTAGGATCACCAAACTCGCTCCACCACCACAAATAAATTTTTTCACATTTTTTCAAGTTTTATCACTGAGGTGCCATGCTCATCTATTTGTACAGACACCCACATGAGAAACTATAACTGTCAGAATAGGTGTTTTGATTGCTTTAAAAAACACATACAGATAAATCCTCAGCTGTACAGAAAACATGGATTTTAAGAACCCTATAGTGACGATTCAGATGCTATGCTGTTCCAGGACCAGGCTCTTGTTTTATCATTGCTCTTCATGCAGAATTTATTACAAGTTGGTATGAGATCACTGTGAAACCTCCAACAAGCCTATACTTTATGCAAGTTTTAGTGACCCAATTTTCATGGTGACTCTTAGACCTTGGTTGTGTGTCTAGAGCTTGAGCTGAGCACTGGGATCAATGCTTGGCCCTCAAGCCACTGAAATGGGACTCTATACAGGGAAAAGCTTGAAGCTGCCGAAAAAAAAAAAAAAAAAAAAAAAGACTTACAATCCTCATCCATTATACATGAACCTGCAACTAGAGAACAAAAGCAGGCAGAGATATAAAATCAAACAATCTCTTCCAAGTGTAATTTGACAAACACAAAAAGGGCAAAGAAAATAAGCTGGACGTTGGCTCTTCGAGAAGAAGGATCATTATGCTTCCACATCACACCCACGGCAAAAGATAAAACGAGTGACAAAACTCCCGAAAGTTACTTTGAATCACAGTAATTACCCCTCTCAAATCAGAACCATTTACTAATGTCTGGACAAGCATGTAATCAATTAGATTTCAGGACTCTAAGGTCTAAAACTATTAAAACATCAGAATCTCTGTGATCTATTATAAACAGGGCCAGATTTATGCATAAGCATTTCAGGCACGTGCCAATGCTCGTACATCCAGCGAGGCCCAATTACAACGAGGAGAAATTAAATATTTTCTTAATATTTATTATTACGTTACTCTAATAGTGAAACACCAAAAGACAATTACCATCTAAATAAACACAATTTTAAATATCGGCCAGAAACCATGTATCTTAACTCTGACAGTAGGTGGCGGTTATGGAAAAGCATGAATAAAGGAAATGAATTGATGGACCTCAGCCTGACTGAGTGGCAAAAGATCTGCTGCGTGACTGGATTTAATTGGAGAAACTGTGAAAATGCGACTAAAACTAACAATTTTATCAATTTAAACTAAACGTTGGCCTCAATATAGTGTTCCTTACAACTTACTAAAGATTCAGTGATCCATGGATATTGACATGCAGCCAGGAATCGTGTTGCCTGACATTTATGTTTGCCTGATTTCGACACCGTGGAAATAAAAGCAACATAGACCTAAACATAAAGTAAATTTTCCTGTGAACGCTTTATATAAATACAATATAGGTGCTTCTAAATCCTGGTGATCACTTATGTCAGTGTTATATATAGCCTATATATATCATCATATCATCCAGCCCTAAAACTTTATAGTTTTTTTTTTTTTTGGTCAGTGTTTATTAAAAAACATCCAATAATTCAGAATATGCAATGATAAATACTGAATGAAAAATATATGGGTATGGTTTTACACCTAAATTCAGCATATGGACACAAAATGATAACTGCAAATCCACCTTTCGCTGACTGGGTCCAGTTGTTTCTGTGAATCGCAGTGAGCCATTTGCTCCTCTTTCTATAGCAGTCTGTAAAAATATACCTCTGATTTTTTGTCAAATCTTTTGCCGCTCAGTCTTTTTGCCACTCACTGACGGTGACGTCACGTGCATTCCCTCTATACAGTGATACACAATGCAGCGCTGCACTTATACCAATGCAGGCTGTAGGCATTAGCACAAGGTAGGATGAAAAAGAAAACGCGTCATTCATAAAAATGTCTACCTTTTGGAACAGTTTTAAAATGCTGCCTCTGTAGGCATCTCAATATTTGAAAAAAGCAATTGAAATCAAAGAACTGAGGAATGAACATGTTTGTGCAGTTTTTGGGCCCTGTACAGAAGAAACAAGACCGCAGGTGCACTGGCAGTCTTATTGCCATCGTTGACGTTTTCACCACCATTCGTTTGTTCTTATGACTGTAACATCTCATTTGCACATCTGGGCTTGAGGGCCCAGCTGGTTGATATTCCTTAAGGGGAAGAGACATCATGCCGAGTGGATGGGGTTGAGTCCCAGGAGACAGAGAGACATATGGGAGTGAGATGAAAGAGAATTCATCACATACATATAAGACTTGCGCTGGGTCAGCCTTTACCTTGTCCACAACTAATATGTCTATGCTAAGTCAACACTCTATTTCAGGGGTTTTCAAACTTTATGGAGTCAAGGACCCCTTACAGGGAAGAAAATTGTCCAAAGACCCCCTTATAAATATAACCCTTTAACTGACTTCTCAACCAAACGGTTGAGCACATTTTGAGTCACTGTGTTCTATCGAGAGGAGTACCTAACTTAACTCAAACTGATTGAGCCATCTCTATCATCTGGCTGAGGTAAGCCCAAATGCCCCAAAAATCCACAAGATTCCACAGTGTCAATCAACAGCACTTGTCACAACACTTCTTCTAACATGGATGTCAGAAACAAATAAATCACCCCAGCCATGTGAACTGTTTTTGGTGAAATTTTGCAAGCTTTTACATATTAAACTGTAAGAACCCTAACTTTACAAAATGAGGTTACTTGGTGCTATGAAAAAACTGAAATTTTATATATATTTTTGATAATTTTTCAAAAAAAAAAACACGTTGAACCAAACGATTGATTTGGCACATAATGGTTAATTGTCACCCCCCTTTTTGAGAATGGACATTACAGTGCACTATTAAAACTTGGTTGTAATTCAAGAATGCTTTGGAATAAAGACCTAAGTTTAGTCTTGTTTTACAGAAAACACTTAGCAGATTATTGCTGAAGTAAAAGCACAAAAAGCATACAAAAAATAAAAGTATGAAAAAGTTAAAGTTATGGAAGTTTTAACTTTACATTTAAATTTATTCAGCATGAATCGTTTCCATGAAAACGCAGTGT